AGGCGGTGGGCCATGACTGTTGTCGGGGAGCCAGAGAAGGCGGCCGGCGGCTTCCTGGCCCTGGTGCTGGGCAGAGCCTCTGGCGCAGTGGACATCCAGTACCTGAAGAGGCGCTGGGCGGCCCCAGCAGGGGACGAGCACCACCAGCTGCTGCAGCTCCTGCAGGAAGCCTCCCGGAAGGAGGGGACACCGCAGAGTCAGGGGGAGCCGTGAGCACCCGTGCGGTGGCGCATGTGAGAGAAGAGCAGGGGGGCCGGTTTTATGCGTGTGCATGTGTGCTTGTGCGTCTGTGTGTGCTCTTTATGAGGATGCTGACGTACCCAGCACACGCCCTGTCTAGGTGGAGAATACGAATGCCTGGGTGCACCACGCTCGGCACCAGCAGGGGGCGCCCAGCTCGCTCCTCAGCATTTCTGGGTGTTCTTAGAACGGCTTTGGAATTGCACGCTCTGCCAGGAAGGTGTGTTGTAGCGAACTGTTTTTTTAGGTGTGGACGATACACACACACCTGCATTAAAGGAGTCACTCCCCTGGGCTCTGCCAGCGCGTGGGCTTTTCTGTCTCTTTCTTCTTTGGCTATAAGTCACATGTACTCTCCCGAGGCAGACAGAGAGAGAGCGAGAGGTCACCCTCAGGGCGGTGGCCCCACCACAGTCTCCTCAGGGTCTTGGGCAGGCACGCACACACCGGCCTTGATTGTCAAACCGCCAGTCCAGGACTCAACCCGCAGAGTTGACCGTGTGGGGCCCTCACCTTGACCTCCATGCCTCCTGGAGGCCCTTCCTTTTTTCAGTGCCGCAAGCTGTATGCACTGCCTGCTCCCACAGGCAGCTCCCACTCCCCATGGACGCTCCTGCCCCGTGGGTCCCCGCTCTCCTGGGCCCTGCCCCACGGGTCCCCACTCTCCTGGGCCCTGCCCCGTGGGTCCCCGCTCCTGGGCCCTGCGCACTCCCCGTGGGTCCCTGCTCCTGCGCGCTCCCCGTGGGTCCCCGCTCTCCTGGGCCCTGCGCTCCCCGTGGACACCCCTTCCCCGTGGGTCCCCGCTCTCCTGGGCCCTGCGCTCCCCGTGGACGCCCCTGCTGTGAGGGCTGTGCCCACTGTCCCCTGGGTGTTGTTTCCGACTTGTGACTTCATAACTAGCTACAATGTTTGAAGATCGATGGCATAGGGTTTTTTTTATATAATTATTTTTATTTAACTTTATTATTATTTCCCAGTTTAATCAGAGAGAGACAGAGACAAAGTGAGAAAGCAAGCCACCAGCTCTGGCCCTCAGACCGCGGTCAGCTATGTGCGAGTCCAGCACCTTTAACCACCACGCCACCTGCCGGCCCCAGAGATCAGTGTCAGGTTTTAGTTCAGACTCTACCTTGTTCGGAATTCGGATGGACGTCCGTCCTGCTGGCCCCTGGGCTCTGGCTGGCAGCTGTGCCCGCTCTCCTGGCACCTCTCTGCTCCCCCAGCTGTTGGCTCGGGCTCAAGTCTCTGGATTGCCCAGGACCCGTTCAAGGGAACGGCACTGTGTGCTCCCGTGATGTGGCGTCAAGAATGACTTTGTGCTCTTGGTCTGAAACGTGGAGAGGTTAGAACGGACACAGGCTGTGCAGGGTCGGAGGTGCCGTCTGACCTCGTGCTCGCTGCACGCAGAGGGGGCCCCCGTGGGGTCATGGGCACACGCGGCAGCAGCGGAGGGAGCAGAGTGATTGCAGTCGCTAACACACGTCTAGGGAGGCTGGGAGCATTGTCCGTCCCCATGCTCGTGTGCACACGTGTGAGTGCGTGTGCGTGTCGTGTGTTGTGCAGGAGGCTCTTGTTATTGCGACCCTCCTTCCTCTGCCTCCTGAGCAACCAGACTACAGGCCTGCGCTGTGGCCCAGCCTCCCGCGGCCTCAGCCTGCCGAGCAGGGCACCTGCCCCTGCTGGAACGCCGTCCCGTGTCTAGCTGCACCCTCTGTCAGATTTGGTGAAAATTAATAGGGAGCCTCCTCAGGGTGGCCTCCCGATCCTTTCTTGAGGCCTGGGTGGGGCTTACAGCACAGGGGTCCTCCCAGCACCCCCTGGCATATGTATTCTCAGACACGCATTGCCCACGGCCATGCCCTGGGGTTGGCGTGAAGCCTGGGCCCTTGGTGGGCTTTCCCTGCCCTGTGGACTGCACAGCCTCCACTGAAAATGCCATTGGCGTTTCTTTCTGTCCCAGCGTCCTAGCGCTCAGAGGTTTGTGAGCTGAACAGATATGTGAAGGTCACCAAAAAAATCTGACAAGGCCAGAGAATCTGCCCGACAGCCTGGTCCCAGGGGGGCTGCCGCTCGGTGTGTGTGTCAATCCCACGCCCTCAGCACCTTCCCCGGCTGGGTGACCCTCACCGAAGGCCTTCTAGGGGCTGGCAGCACCCTGGGCCACCTCGAGGGGGGGCGAGACTAGCGACAGCCATGCTGCCGACTCGTGGCAGCTAACGGCCTCTAGCTCCCCTCGGGCCCCCCTGGCTGCACAGGGCCACCGTCAGGCAGTTTCCACAATGCCGCCGGCATTCGCTGTGGTCACTGTCCTCTGCAGCCAGGCCTATGTTCCGAGCACAGACAGAAGTGGTTTCTCTTTTGAGCCACATTTGTGTTATTTAGAAATCACTCTTCTTGGGGGACCACCAGTTGGCATAATGGCTACCTCACTGGACTCCCATGTTGTCAACTGCGGCTCGAGTCCTGGACCCAGTGGCTTAAGTTCACGCCGGGCGCATGTGCGTGCGTGCCCAAGATCTCAAGAGGAGAACGGAGAAGGGATTGCAGTGTGGCCATCCCCCCCTGGGGAGTGATTTCTCGCTTTCTGTCTCTCTGTCTCTCTCTGTCTTTCTGGCGAGCGCACGCACCCTATAGCAAAAACCTCTCCAAAAAGAAAGGAAGAAATCACTCTTCTTGGGACCAGCAGATGGCGTAGTGGTCACATCACTGGCCTCCCACATAGTTGCCCACTGTTCAAGTCTTGGGCCTGGCGGCCTAAAACTCATACCGGGCACATGTGCCCAAAATCCCGAGAGAATGGAGGAGAAGGGATTGCGGCATGGCCATCCCCTAGGGTGTGATTTCTCGCTTTCTGTCTCTGTCTCTCCAGCGAGCACACAGACCCTATAGCACAAACCTCTCTAAATAAATCAATCAGTCTTCTTTCAAGATTTGTCACGTATGCATAAAGAAAAGAAAACACCACCCTCTATGTTTGCTCACCCCCAAAGGGTGGTCTCCCCGCAAGGTGGCAGCCGTCAGCAGGGTGGGGTCCTCCTCTCCCTGCGGCCCATGGGCTGGTCTGGCACGTGTCATCTTCCAGCCTCACTGGGCTAAGAGCTCGGGACGGCCACTTCCTTTCTCCTGTGGCCTCCCCAAGCCGAGCCCTTAGCAGTAGGTGCTCTGCAGACAGCCTGGAGGGAGGAGCAGGAGATGGGGCAGAGTCGGAGGACCTGCCAGGGCTCCCCCGTGTGAGGCATCCAACACCTGCCATCGCAGCCCCTTCAGGGTGGCGGCAGGTGGTGCGCAGCCCCCTGGTCCTCAGAGCTCTCTGCAGAGTGGGAGACAGCATGGCTTCCCAGGCGCCCCTCTGGGGTCTCTCTCCCAGGCCCAGGGTTGCGGGTCCTGGGTGGCAAAGTGGGTGGAGCTGGAAATGGAGCGAGGCTGTGGCGTCTGCCAGAGAGCTGTCTGGTCCAGGGCTCTGCACCTGGAAACGCACCCTGGCACCACCTTCCCGAGTCCAGCACTAGCAACGGGCCGGGATTGGCACACCTGAGACCTGCGACCTGCAGTCCTGAGCAGAGGCCGTTCAGCATGGGGCTGTGATTCAGAAGGGCTGCGAGAGAGCAGTGTGGTGTCCCTGCTGGTCACCGGCTGGGCTGGGCTGGGCTGGGCTGGGGCTGGGGCAGGATGGAGGCCCAGCCCCTGCCAGTGGGGAGGCCCCGGCCCAGTGCAGGAAGCCCACAGGGAGGACCCAGCCCAGGACGCTGACTGGAGCAGGCGGGGTCGGGGGAGACTGCGCAGGACGGAGGAGCAGGTGCTATGTGACAGGAGAGAGGCCACCAGGGCAGTGGGCAGAGGGCAGAATAAGGACCTGGCAGGGTCATTTCTTCCCTCTTTGTTGCCTTCTCTTGAGTAAACTGAGCATTTTTTAAAAGAGATTTTTGTCATAGGGCGCGTGCACTCACTGGAGAGACAGAGACAGGAAACGAGAAATTACCCCCGGGGGGGTGCCACGCTGCAATCCCTTCTCCACTCTCCTCTGGAGAATCGGACACGTGTACACATGCACCCAGCATGAGTTTTTGTTTGTTTGTTTTTTATGTTTTGTTTTTTTTGGAGAGGTTTTTGCTATAGGGCACGTGCACTTGCCAAAAAGAGAGAGCCAGAGAGACAGAAAGCGAGAAATCACCCCCCAGGGGGGATGGCCATGCCACAATCCCTTCTCCTCCATCTTCCTCTCGGGATCTTGGGCACGCACACACATATGCCCGGTGTGAGCTTTAAGCCACCGGTGTCCGGGACGCGAACTGCGGTCGACTACATGGGAGTCCAGTCCCAGCCATTACGCTAACTGCTGGTCCCCCACCGGCGTGAGTTTTAAGCTGCCGGGTCCGGGACTCAAACTGCGATGACGACGTGCGAGCCCACGGCGTAACCATTACGCCATCTGCTGGTCCCACTGAGCACTTTTTAATGATTCCATTTTATGTCCTCAATTGACTGGTCGCCTGACCTCGTGTGAGAGGTTAGTGGTGGCCCAGGTTTGCCGTGTTTCGCAGGGTCTGGTACCGGAGTGTGGGAAGAAGCGTGGCGTGGAGCAGAAGCAGTTGCTTCCCCCACCTGCCTTAGGTTTACAGGTGTCTGCCTTGGATATCAGTGGCACTGCCCGCGTCCCTCGTGCCAGCCCTGAGGGGTGGGGTTCTAGGTGTCTACTGGGCGCCCGGAGGACGAGCCTCCAGGGCTGATCAGGTCAGCTTCCAGGGACCTCTGCGCCCACCTCTGCCCAGTGCCCCCTCCTGGCTGCTGTGGGACGTCTCTGCCTCTCCCTTGCCGTCCGTACCAGGACATGACACGTGTCTGGCTCGTCCGTCCGGTTGCTACCCGTCCTGCTCAGTGCTCTCTGGGCTTGGATCTGTGGTTTGAGGTCTGGCATTAATTTTGGGAAATTCTTGTCACGTTTCCTCAGATATGCCGTCTTCTTTCTTTTGAGGTTACGGCGGTGCATACCTGGGACCCCCGGACACAGGTTGTTCTCAGTCCCGTTTGAGACTGGGTATGTCCGTGCGTTGCAGACTCAGGCTGCCCAGAGAGCAAACGCCGCTGGGGGGTAGAACTCGGGTCACTCCGCCAGCAGACCAGGGAGTTCAGCTCCCACGCTGGGCCTGATTTGGGCAGGGGCGAGGGCTTGGGCTGGGAGTTAACGGGGAGGTTGGCCCACAGCACGCAGGGTTGGGCGATGGGCGGCAGCAGACCGGAAGGGGTTCAGAACCCGCTCTCCCCAGCCCTGAGCCTGACGACCGCCCTGGGCGCCCTTTAGCGG